CATACGGCCCACCTGATGGTGAGTGGTTACCGTCGCCCATGGACTTCAACAATGCCAGAGGCAGAGCCAATATATTTTCCATGTAATAAAATAAAATAAAAAACGCACGATACGCACATTTTGGGGGAATTAATTTCATTTAACAAGCCAATAAAGGACCTGACCTTAATAAATTAATGATAACAGCCTTCCTCTGCCTATATTTTGTTGTAATGCAAATTACGTTATTTTAAATTGGCAATTTTTGGTTTATTTGGTTTTTCTCGAATGTTCGATGTTATGAGTTCTCGGATTGCTGTCACTTGTAGTTCAAAAATAGTACAACAAAATATTTTGTATATTCATGGTAGTTGTGTAGACAAGAGGCCACAGTCGATATGGTATCAACTGGTTCTTAGAAACAAATCTTACCACAAGCGCCGTGACCTACTTAGGGCCATGATGGTGAAATTGTCTTCTATAACGGCTATATTAAAACTGAAATGTATAATTACCTTGCAACACAATATTATTATGGTGTTGATTATATGTAGCTACTCGCATATGGGTTCATCTTTTTCTTTTATACATTTTCATGTCAGCAGTCATGTACCTTTTTTGTAATTGTCCTTACAGACAGACGAGTGTGCGGCTCACCTGATGATTAAATGGTTACTGCCACTCCTGGAAATCAGCATTGCCAGCAGAGTCAAATCGCTTCTTACTTATCTATGTTTGAAGGGTGGTATTGCCGTTATTTAATAAAGTATATAGATTTCAATCTCTAGTTTGAATGTAAATGGCGGCACCATGTAGCCAAATATTGTGCCGTCTTCGCGGCAAAATTTAAATGTGATATTTTACAACGCCAATTGATCTCCATGTTCGGATGCATCAAATGACAGCGAAGCTACATCGCATGCACTACACATCGATTACGAACGGGAGCCGAGCAAGACGCAACCAAATCTAGAACTCTCTCTTCCCAGCTATTTATCCCACATGGTGGTGGGGTCAGCTTTCCTGACTTTACTCCTCCACTTCGCTCTGTCTTCGACATCCTCGTCAGCAACATTGCATTCTCTCTTGTCCTTAATCATTACGTCCCTTCACCTTGTCTTGGGTTTACCTCTGGGCAGTAGCGCCAAATTTCCAACGTAGGCGGCTTCCTTTTCACGTGACCATACCATCTCAGCCTACTCTCCTGCATCTTGTCGGCAATGTCCCAACCAAACCAAATAGAACATTTAAATATAACCGAATTTGACGACCGTGGGTAAAGTTCAATTATAATAAATTAACAAAAGGCCCTAGTGAATCTAGAACACAGTGCATGCGTCCAGGAGCTCCGTGTGGCAGTCCCAGGTGCGTATGTGCAAGTACTCATTTTTTGAATCCTAGACGTACATCGGGAACCTAGGATACCTTGCTGGGCAAGTTCCGTATCCATCCTCGACCAGGGATCGATTGGTTTTGTCCAGACCCAGTGTGTGTGTCACGAAGATAACCGGCTGAAACAAAACTTTCGAGCCGGGAACCAACGTGGTACTGGTGGTAGGACCTCTTGTGAGTCCGCACGGGTGGGTACCACCGCCCTGCCTATTACTACCGTGAAGCAGTAATGCGTTTCGGTTTGAAGGGTGGGGTAGCCGTTGTAATTATACTGAGAACTTAGAACTTATATCTCAAGGTGGGTGGCGCATTTAAATTGTAGATATCTATGGGCTCCAGTAACCACTTAACACCAGGTGGGCTGTGAGCTCGTCCAAGCAACTAAGCAATAAATAAAAAAAGTCGCACATACAAATATTGATAGTCAATTTTAAAATTGCCATGTCTTAAGTTGCACATTCGGAATATCTTAATGAAAACGATGTTTGTTTGAGTAACGTTTCGCGAACCAGCATCGCAGTCACGGAATTGAATATTTGAGGGAGCTCTGCAATTTGTAAACGTACGCGAGGAAATTAGCCGAATCTGAAACCTCAGCGGCACGGCGCAAGGAGGACTTTATTACTGTGTAACTTCATGCATTCTAGCGTATGTGGTGACGTAACGAAGCCAGTATTTGATGTGCTTACCTATATTGCAGAGAACGTTTAGTTTGTAACGTAGCTGTTAAATTCAAAATTCGAATTTCGGTAGATTAATTTGTCATTAAATGTATTACTCTCATCGGCGCCTTGGTATACTCGGAATTCGGAAATCCACGAGTACCTGGAAATCCCAACCATCTTGGATGAAGTTAAAAGATACTCAGTCAACTATAAGAACCGCTTGACATCTCACCCAAACCCGTTGTCCAGTTTACTATTGCAGCCAAATCCGATTAGAAGACTCAAGAGAGCCGACGTGCTACCCTGCTAAGGCGAAACGGACCATTGGCGCTGCCTCTCCAAACCATAACCTCTCGCAACTCACCTGATTATACTTATAGTCTTGACGACTGATCGCAGGTGTTAATGAAGAAAAAAAAAATTAAATCTAATCAATCAAGTAATGATTTTTTAAAAAGGATATATGTGTCCGCTTATCATCAGTCACGAACGATGCTATTTATGATTTATTAAAATAAAAAAGAAAAATTAATCTGATTTTATAATCGGTTTTTATGACAAAATATCATTCATTATTTGGTATTATATGTAGCTGCTATTTATTATTTTGTTAGTCGTGCTTAGCATATCAAAATACTTGTATTATTATTAGATCAGTCGTTTTAGAGAGATTTTATCGAACTAATTAAATTTTGTATATTCTGTTAGATGTCTATTGCATATCTGTAGTATATATCTAACTATTGCAAGATATCTATTGCACTATAAGTATGACAAATAGTATATGACTCGACTGTTCACAGCAACTCTGGGATAGAGATTCTTAGAATTATTGGTTGAGGAAGCTTGTGTTATTGAATTTGTATCAAAATACTTAGTTACAACGGGTATGGTGTTTACAAATGCTCCAAATTTGACAACCCTAGGTGTTTAGCATTCTATTGCTATAGTCAATGATATAGAAATAGAGCTCTTATGAATACTTAGATCTAAATTAGAATATGATAACGATACTCATTGACATTTCTAAAATTTTGATCTGTCAATAAAATATCACAGTTATTTTTTATAATAACTGCTATAGTTATAATAAAGTTGCTGCAGCAGAGAGGCACTATAAGGAGATGAATCTCAAGAAAAGAAACTTTTTCACGAAGCAAGATATTTTATGAAACAAAGAGACGACTTAAAAATAATCTTGAAAAATGTCAACGCCCACAGTCTTTCCTGGCACTATAGTTAATTACGAGATATTCGAAGCGTTACGTTCAAAGTTCCGACTTTACAAAAGAAATTTAATTACAAGGGAACCCTTAAATATTTCCTGTTCTCGTTCGGATGAGAACTATTTTGTGATCCATCTAGTAGATTATGGCTACGGGAGCTCATAGATAAATAAATCAACTTGAATCGCATCCTGGGGAAAAAAAGGTTCATCTCGAAGCCACCACAAAAACGACTAGAAATCAGTGTGTTAATTGAGTCGTCTATTATCAAAGGTGGCAATCTGTGTATTTGGACAAAAAAAAATTATTGATATGTCAATACAGATTTATTTGAATATAATCGTCTCCTTCAAAGAATACGGTTCAAAACCTGCATTAAATAAAGGTTAATAGTTAACCTGTTATTTATCTAAGATGTCGTTCCGAAGAGTTTTGTGACTGCCGATGGAATACAAAGTCAATAATTCGTTTTTCTGATTTACCAATCATTGTCCAAAAGTCAGATNAAGAGTCGTCGCCTGGTCGATCGCTCCCCTGATGGAGTCAACAAGGCGGGTTGCCGCATCGTCGACCCCATCAGGGGTGTTGGGGTCCTGAATCACGGGAAGGTCGACTAGTCGTCTCTTAAAGAGCTCCCAGTCGACCTTCGGTCGTAGGGGCGAGGTCGCGACCCGGGTGAGCCCCATTCCCAGTGTCACCAGGATAGGGAGATGAGGGGTACCCAGGTCGTACAGTGCCTCGATCGTTACGGGGCACCGTAGCCCCTTTGTACCAAGATACTTAGTTACAACGGGTATGGTATTTACAAATGCTCCAGATTTGACAACCCTAGGTGTTGAGCATTCTATTGCTATAGTCAATGATATAGGAATAGAGCTCTTATGAATACTTAGATCTGAATTAGATTATGATAACGATACTCATTGACATTTCTAAAATTTTGATCTAACAAGAAAAATGGCACAGTTATTTTTTATGATAACGACTAGCTTTTGCCCGCGACTCCGTTCACGTGGAATAGTTACTTTGGCATAACGCTACATTTTACCCCCACTTCATTTACGTAGAAAGTGAAAACATTTTTGAATTGTAGAATGTTACTGAGCTATTTAAACCCCTATTTTGAAACATTCTTTATTGTTGCTCCACTTTTATTGACCTTACCGTGATATTATATAGTGTATAGCCTTCCTCAATAAATGGGTTATTTAACACTGAAACAATTTTTTAAATCGAACCAGTATTTTCTGACATTAGCGTGTTCAAACAAACAAACTCTTCAGCTTTATAATATTAAGTATAGATTAAACTTGCTGCAGCGGAGAGGCACTATAAGGAGATGAATCTCAAGAAAAGAAACTTTTTCACGAAGCAAGATATTTTATGAAACAAAGGGACGACTTAAAAATAATCTTGAAAAATGTTAACGCCCACAGTCTTTCCTGGCACTATAGTTAATTGCGAGATATTCGAAGCGTTACGTTCAAAGTTCCGGCTTTACAAAAGAAATTTAATTACAAGGGAACCCTTAAATATTTCCTGTTTTCGTGCGGATGAGAACTATTTTGTGATCTATCTAGTAGATTATGGCTACGGGGGAGCTCATAGATAAATCAACTTGAATCGCATCACGACTAGAGATCAGTGTGTTAATTATAGTTTGCAAAATTTAATGTATGCGAGTAACTATTACAGGATATTTCACATAATATTTACAGAATTAAAGAATAAAATAGTATTCGGATTTGATTAAAAATTATATTTGAGTATGATACTACAAAATTTAGCTTGAATTTGCAATATACTTAGTTGCCCATTTTATTTTTGAACATTTCTATGAATTTCTTCAAGCCTGGTTCGTTGGCTTTCTTGTAAAATTCTTGTTCGGAACAGCGCTGTAGCCACGAAATTATTTTTGGGTACCTAGACAGAAAACAATATTTTTTAGCATTAATGGTAAAATAAAGTTTCATTATTAGCCTTTTTGATAACTGCCAAAAAATCGGTAATTGGCCTGAGTTGTTTTCATCAATGCTTAAGTATCTAATTTGAGAGATCTTTTAGGTATAAAGACTCACTTCTTTTTGTCAATAGGGACAATTACGTTCATGGAACTGATTGTAGATACACAGCAGATATCGGCTAATGTAACTTGGTCTCCGGCTAGCCAATCGGAAGTCAGGAATTTTTCAACGAATTCGTAGGCTGCCTCCATTTTTTCTAGATTTTCTTGTTTAAAGCTCTTTTCATTGTTGTATAATACCGGTTCCTTTAAATAGAAATTATCATTCGTGAATTTCGGATAACAATTTGAATTCGAACAAGGAATAAATGTCGTATTGCATACTAATGGCAAAATTTGTCAGCTTAGGATTAAATTTTGGATAGATTCATATTTCGTAACGTGTGAATGTGAATTTGATTTGAAAAAGTTGAGGTCTTTCAATTAGACTTTAAAAAAAGCTCTGATTAGATGATTTAATAGTCAGAGGAAATTAAACTTTAACAAGTTCTAAAAGTTTGTTATTTTATTTGAACATAGAGATAAATACCACTAAAGAAAAATCTATTCAGTAGATGTAAATAATAAATTTCAACGCCAGCACAGGCATTCCTTGACACAAGTACACCTGGTGTCTTGATCCTTTAGCCCTCAACGGCTTCGGAGATTTTCTTTTATCATAGGCTTTGGGGAAAATATTTTCGTAATAAGCGGGAAGCGTTCTTCTCCTGTTATAGCTTTTTTATTTATTTTCAACAATATCAGCTGAGCTTATGTCCTTGCTATTCGTGGTAATCTGTCAGCTTTGCTTATAGATATTGGTGTAATTAAGCTGAGGGTACAGATTAAGTCACGGGTTTGTAAGTTTTACTGGTGGTAGGACCTCGTGTGAGTCTGCGCGCTGTCTATTTCTGCCGTGAAGCAGTAATGCATTTCGGTTTGAAGGGTGGGGCAGCCGTTGTAACTATACTTGAGACCTTACATTTTAAATCTCAAGGTGGGGGTGGCGCATTTACGCTGTAGATGTCTATGGGCTCCAGTAACCACTTGACACCAGGTGGGCTGTGGTGAGGTCGTCCACACATCTAAGCTATAAAAAAAAAAACTAAAAATGTTTGAAAAAAAGGATGCGTATGTGGTAAATTTAGAATTAAATTACATTGTAACAATTATAACAATTATTAAATTACAAGTGAAAAAATTTAATATTATTAATAAATAAATGCCTTTTAAATTTGTCTTTCATAGTGCGCGGCCGCATTGGCATTAAATAATTTAGAAGCTCCAAAGTTAGTGTGATATAGTATCTAACCATAATCGCTCAATCCTGAAGGTTTGATTATATTTCAACTTTTGCTTACTTACAGCAGTAGCTCGTAATATGGCGAAGAGCACTCCGGTATCAAAATGTAACCTCTGATCAACAATGGCTCTTTGTTTAGGTTCTTTAGGATATAATGTGTCATTTTTAGCATATCTGTTCACCAAATATGTGACTATGGCGTGGCTGAAATAAATATCAAAACGTTTCAATAGGTAGGTACTAGGCCTTGCTGTAGGTAGGTCACGCGTTATAGTAGGTCGCGTGTTATAGTAGGTCAAGTGCTGTGGTAGGTTCCGTGTTATAGTGGGCCACGTGTTATAGTAGGTCGAGTGTCATAGTCTTCAACGGCCTCAAGTGCCTCTTGTCATTTACCAGTAACACTCGTACAGAATGGTACACTAACACTTTAATTAATATAAATATATTAACTGCGACCAGAAATTGACAGGTAAGAAGAGTGGTACAAAAATTAGGGGTGTTAACACCAAGGAACCACCACCACCATATTATGAAGATACTGAACCACCTTTATCATATCATCATAGAGAGTGTCTTCCATGAACCGTATATAATACAAATTTTGTCGATAGCCAGACAATAATGTCTAGCGTCTATCTTTATAGAACACAAGATTTTTGACAGATAATCTTGCTTATTTACAAGTTTCGAACAAGTTTCGAATAACAAACCGCATTAGAACTATTGATCTACCTGGCAATTTCACCCGCTTGGTAGATCTTCATTTTGTTGTTCACCCACAAACTATGTCTATGATGGCTATCGCAACAAAGATTTTCATTTGTACATGCCGTGACTTACCTGTCCCATATTATGAAATCTCCGTCTATTAACGTGGGAACAGTGTGTTGCGGATTCATCTGTAATAAAATTTGCAATTGTATTTCCGTAAATAAGTAAAGTTCCATTAATTTTACGACTTTTAGGGTTTGGCTTTTTGTAGTTCTTCTTCTTGCTTTTATCACACTATGTGGGGTCGTTGCACCATATCCTTTTTCATTCAACTCAATATACGTCATCTCTGAACTCATACGTTTCTTTCGCATATCCCATTTCACACAGTCTATGTACTTTTTTTAACGTTAAGGAAAATTACTTAAATGTTCATGTCCGGTACCAATGATAGTCTCCCGGAAACCGGAAACATGCTTATGATGATATAATTTAAAGTTCTTGGTAGCAGAATCCAATCTTTAAATCGCAGAGTGCAGAGTGCAGTTACGAAAGAATATACTAACACACTTTTATAAATTAGAATTAGTTACGTGGATGTTTTAGATTTTTTTTACCAAATCACAGTTTTGTTCTTTTTGTTTTACGAGTACTTCACGAAACGAACAGACTTTTTTTACTTTTCTTTCTTTCTTTCTACTTTTCTTTTGATAAGGAGTTTCTATATATAGATATAGAAAGTTTCTATATATTGATAGCAACTCCAATATATGAGACATTAAAATTACGTCCAGATTCGGAATACCATTTAAAATAGTTAACTCTGGGCTACGGCAACCGCTTACGACGTCATCGTCAATAAATTACGCGAAGCGGAAGAATGGATTCACTGTGCTTTGTCTTCTTCAATGACGATCAGCTTTCAATAGGATAGAAAGGGACAAAATACGATGAAGATTAGACAGGTCACTTCTATAGCTTAGTTCTTTTTTTATTATATTAGCAATGGTTGACATAACACTAGTTTTGCTACTAGCCCTCAGAAATTCTTCTTTCAGATGGTCCCTTTCTGGCAGATTCACTTCAATGAGTTCCACGTCATAAATTCCGAGCTCGTGAAGTACCATCTGAACTGATCTGCAAGGAGGACTTGTGTCCTTTTTGTACAGGATGAACACCATAGTCGGAACCTGGATTGGTGAAAATATGAAAATTAGTGGTAATTGCGATTTCGAAGATCAGTTTTTAGTGTTGAGCATCATAATGTTATACAATTAAAAATAAAACCTCTTGTGGGGCCTACTTATTTCTTATCCTATCGCCCTGATAAAGAAAAGATTTTCTATAATCGTATCATCTTCAGTCCTCTAAGGCTCTGCCAGGTGGCCGGTGGCGCCTGCTTAACAGCTCGGAGGACAAGAGTCAAGCCGTCGCCCGTGAGGGCGAGTGCCCATGCTTGACACGTGATCCTATCGGGACCGGGTACCGTGCACTTTGCCCATATCGCTTGCAAGGCCAATTGAAACTCCGTCTGGGAGACGTACTTGAGTTCTCTGCTTTCAGCAATCTGCGCCGTCCCCTTGCGAAAACAAATTTAGGGGAGACGAAGGCCAGACGAACGACAGCAGGCTGGGGGAATCAAGGGCGAACTGGTAACGGCCTGTAGAGCCGTCCCTACGGGTCACGCTCGATCGAGGCAAGTAGATCGGCTCAAGCAACTCCTTTGCCTGCCCGATGCCACGTGCCCTCACCGTCGTCCTGTACACCTCGCACAGGCGGTCCACCTCGTCGATCCCCAACGTCAACACCGCTGATACGCGCGACGGCTGACGGCGCACTACCGGCGAGAGCTGAGCTGGGTAACCTTAGACCAGCTCTCGGTCAGGGAAGCTGGAGCCGGTGGAAGCCATGCCTCCAGTCTCGCAGTGTCGAAAATCGTCCCGATGGTTCGCGTAATGTGTTGGAGATGCAGGTCGTCCTCTTCCTCTTTGGTATTAATGGGATCACTATTTTAATATTACTAGTGGTCGCCCAGTGCTCGAAATTCGACCATAATTAATTCTAAATTATAAGCTTGAACATGATTATGGATATATTGTCATATTTCTATAATTATCATTTCTACAATAATCATTGTTCTTTAATCACACACTTTCGCCAAGGCTACACTCTAGACTTAATATTATTAATGACAAACATTATTAATCTATTTTCAATTTGACTACAGACTTTAACAATAAATAAAAGAGTATAAATGCGCGTGTGTCAAATACACGGTAGTGTGTGTAATGTTTTTTTAATTGATTTAATGTATATATTTTATGCATATTTTTTTAAATAATTAGCATTCTACACTTCTCTTCTATATTCTCTATAAGTGTGGAAAATTTCAAACTGCTTGTACGCGCAATTTTCTAAAAAAATTTTGCTTCACCGTATTAATATATAGATAAATTTCTGACAAACACGTCTTTTATTTAGACATAACAAATGATATTCGTCTCTTCAACGACTGCTACTTTGATATTCAAATTATAATTTAGAACGTCCTTGCCAATAACTATTGTTTCGCCAAATAAAATTTTGGATCAATTACAGAAACGTGGATTAAATTATCACCATAATTATGATAGATATTAAACAATGTGTCAAAATTCACACGCAAAAAAGACTATAAAACTTACGAGACTGTTGTCTTCTTTCGTTACGGTCTGACTGTTTAAAATAAAAGCAAATTGATTACGAATGGAAATGTCAGCGTAAAGTGGACGTAATCGGTAAGGAGTATTGCATAACCGCTACGTATAAAGACGGCTAAGTTTTAGTCGGAAAAAATGGCTGATAAGCCCGTCCTCGCCCACCTGTTCTATCCTGGTGAAACTGGAAAAGTCTCTGGGACACTAATGTTACTTCTTATAAAAAAATCGTAACGAATTTCCGGACACTTTCTTTCGTCTGGGACGGCAGAGAACTATAGCGCGGTCATCGTCCTCGTTGAACCCGTCGCTTGCGGCGAAGGGCTCGACGAGTAAATTAACCCACAGACACAGCCCACTGAGTTTCTCGCCGGATCTTCTCAGTGGGTCGCGTTTCCGATCCGGTGGTAGATTCTGCGAAGCACGGCTCTTGCTAGGGTTCGTCTTAGCAACGTCGTCAGGTTTGAGCCCCGTGAGCTCACCTACTTGCTAACGTTACGCTGAAATAGCCGCTCAAGGCTATCAGCTTAGGTAGAAAAAAATAAGCGAAGTATAGCTCCACTGAAATCTCCCGTCATGTCACCCGGGCGTTCGACTTTGTTTGAACATTTTGCCGGTAGAACACGGAAATTTGCATAGCACTTTGTCTGCTAGCCGGTGTACTGATCATAAAGCGTATTCTGACAATGCAAAGTCGTCTTTCTGCTGGATGCAATCATGGGTATAAGTAATCGCTAGCTATTATTTCTATTCGTCATTGAAATACACCTTAAGAAATATTGAGTGACAGAAAATACCGGTTCTCGTGCTCAAAACGGAATAGTAATGGTGTCGTTTTGAATGTTTATAATATTTTAAACCTGTTTCTATTATTATTGACCTTGAGATTACTAGAGAGATACAGCCAAGCTACGCTGTGACCGTCGTCAAAATTACCTAGAATATACATTTTTGTTGAAACAGCTCGAGAGCTTTGTGTATTTTTTTTATTGCTTAGATGGTTGGACGAACTCACGGCCCATCTGCTTTTAAGTGCTTAGGGAGCCCATAGACGTTAGAAACGTAAATACCGCCACCCACCTTGAAACATGAGTTCTGAGTCTCAACTTTTACAGTACAACGGCTGTCCCACCCTTCAAACCGAAACCCAACACCGCTTCACAGGGGAAATAGGCAGGTTGGTGGATATTTACTTCATCGATGCCTCTGAGCTCCGCTAACTACTTAACAATCGATGGGCGGTAAGGCCGTTCACCTATTGCTCATTGAGTTTTCTCATTTTGGCGCCAATACATTGTACAATATTTTGCGATATTAAAATGGAGTGGGGTGATAAAGAGAACCGAATCGCTGTGATTGCATTACACAAAGTAGGTATGGAGCCAAATGCAATTTTTAAAACTCTCCATACGGTTGGTATTAGTAAAATGTTTGTGTACCGGGCTATTAATAGGTGCAATGAGACCTCCTCTGTTTGTGACAGAAAAAGATCTGGCCGTCCACGTAGTGTTCGTACGAAAAAGGTGTTTTTTTTTTATTATTTTTTTATTGCTTAGATGGGTGGACGATCCCACAGCCCACCTGATGTTAAGTGGTTACTGGAGCCCATAGACATCCACAACGTAAATGCGCCACCTACCTTGAGATACCAGTTCTAAGGTCTCAAGTATAGTAACGACGGCTGCCCCACCCTTCAAACCGAAACGCATTACTGCTTCACGGCAGAAATAGGCAGGGTGGTGGTACCCACCCGCGCGGACTCACAAGAGATCCTACCACCAGTATTTACGCAAATTATAATTTTGCGGGTTTCATTTTTATTACACGATGTTATTCCTTCACCGTGGAAGTCAATCGTGAACATTTGTTGAGTACGTATTTCATTTGAAAAATTGGTACCCCTCTGCGGGATTCGAACACCGGTGCATCGCTCAACACGAATGCACCGGACGTCTTATCCGTTAGGCCACGACGACTAAAGCAGTAAGGGAAAGAGTTCGAAGAAATCCTGTCCGAAAGCAAAAGATTTTATCTTGGGAGATGAAGATAGCACCTAGAACCATGTCGCGTATTTTAAAAGATGACTTAGGACTTTTGCAGCCTATAAGAGACGTACTGATAATTTAAAAGAGAATAGGGTGGTAAAATCGAAACAACTACTGAATCAGTACGCAAAGGGAGATCATAGAAAAATTTTATTTACGGATGAGAATTTTTTTATAATTGAGCAATATTGTAACAAACAAAATGACCGTATTTATGCTCAAAGCTTCCCAATTAGTCGACAGAGTGCAACGTGGGCACTATCCGACTTCAGTGATGGTTTGGTGGGGTATTAGCTATGAAGGAGTGACTGAGCCATACTTTTGTGAAAAAGGTATCACAACATCGGCACAAGTGTATCAAGATACCATTCTTGAGAAGGTAGTGAAGCCCCTTAACAACACCATGTTCAATAATCAAGAATGGTCCTTCCAGCAAGACTCGGCGCCAGGTCATAAAGCTCGGTCTACGCAGTCTTGGTTGGAAACGAACGTTTCGGACTTCATCAGAGCTGAAGACTGGCCGTCGTCTAGTCCCGATCTTAATCCGNTCCTAACCCCAAAGGGTAGGGGAGGACTGGGAACAGACACGGGCGGCCAGACTCAATGGCGCTCACGTACACCAATTTTATTAAAAAATAAAATGGTTACGCAGCTTTCACAGGCTGATCGACACCTACCCGCTATTAACCAATGTTAAGAATAAAAGTGTCAATCAACTCACCTGTTCCCGGGTCCTGCGTTACGCTGTTCGGAATGTCTCCAACCCGAAGCAGCACCGCTAGATGAAAACACACGCACTGTGGGCACACACTAACTGTACAGCACAACACAGCAAGGGGCCACTTAGCCTGGTGTCCCGGGGTCAGGTAGAACACGGAAATTTGCATAGCACTTTGTCTGCTAGCCGGTGTACTGATCATAAAGCGTATTCTGACAATGCAAAGTCATCTTTCTGCTGGATGCAATCATGGGTAATCGCTAACTATAGTTTATAATTTCTATTCGTCATTGAAATACACCTTAAGAAATATTGAGAGACAGAAAATACCGGTTCTCGTGCTCAAAACGGAATAGTAATGGTGTTGTTTTGAATGTTTATAATATTTTAAACCTGTTTCTATTATTATTGACCTTGAGATTACTAGAGAGATACAGCCAAGCTACGTTGTGACCGTCTTCAAAATTACCAAGAATATACATTTTTGTTGAAACAGCTCGAGAGCTTTGTGTATTTTTTTATTGCTTAGATGGTTGGACGAACTTACGGCCCATCTGCTTTTAAGTGGTTAGGGAACCCATAGACGTTAGAAACGTAAAAACCGCCACCCACCTTGAACATGTGTTCTGAGTCTCAACTTTTATAGTACAACGGCTGTCACACCCTTCAAGCCGAAACCCATCACCGCTTCACAGCGGAAATGGGCAGGTTGGTGGGCATTTACTTTATCGATGTCTCTGAGCTCCGCTAACCACTTAACAACCGACGGGTGGTGAGGCCGTCCACCTATCTAGGCAGTCAAAAATATTAAAAAATAAATAATAGTTTAAACAACCAACAAAATACGCTTTTATAGAAAATCCAACTAAAAAATAGATAATAAATTTTAATAAATTTGAATTAAAAATAGTGTAAGAAAAAATTATTTTATTGTAAAAAAAGCGGGGGGTGCTTTTCAGGATATTATCAAAATAGCCCTTCTACTCAGATCTGTTCATAAAATATTTATAACTACTGATATCATGCACCTCACGGTTTTTCTTTCACTATTTTAATTAAAAGCGTATTCTGTAGTTTTTTTAAACTATTACTTATTTTTCATTTTTTAGTTCAATTTCGATTTTTTTAATTTTTTTTCCTATTTGTTTAAATATTGAATCGTCATCGGTCCCTAATAAGTATACCAAATTTTGAGTTAATCCGATGTTTTGAAGGGAGTCAAAAGTCAAGTTCAAAGATTCCGTTACATACTAACATACATACGTCTGAAGCTAATAAAAGCGTATTAAAAACATATTTAATAATTTATTAATTATACGAGTATAGACTAACTGAAAAGAAAGAGGAGAGAGTAAGAGGACCAACTGAATTTTATGTTTCGCAGGAATGTTTCTAATATTTAATTGTATTTTTGCCCGTTCTTGTAAAAGACCAAATTTTAATATCTGTACAGGAAAACAAAAAAATAAAACGATCCACTTGATAACTTAGGAGGTTTTATTTTTGAATATCTCTCGGAATTGCAGAAGTCCTGGCTCGTTGGCTTTTTTGTAGATCGGCAGTTGAGCAGAACGGTCTAACCACGAAGCTAATTTAGGATATCTGAAAATGAAAAGAAAAAGGCGTTGATGTAATTAAAGAGACGTTATTTTTTCTTATAAGGGTGGACGAGCTGAAAGCCCACCTGGTGTTAAGTGTTTACTGGAGCCCATAGACACATACAACGTAAATGCACCACCCGCCTTGAGTTATAAGTACTAAGGTCGCAGAATTGTTACAACGGCTGCCCCACCCTTCAAAGCGAAACGCATTACTGCTTTACAACAGAAATAGGCAGGGTGATGGTACCTACCCGTGCGGACTCACAAGAAGTCCTGCTACCAGTAAATAGTAGCAGTAACCACCAGTAGTGATAATTAGTTACTGAAGGCTATAGATACCAGTGTGTGAGCCATAATAAGTATCGAATATAGTTGATGTTAAAGAGCAAAACTTACAAGCTTCCGTCAATTGGAACCATCTCGTTCAACGTGCTGATGGAAGTAACGCAGCAAATGTCGGCCAAGGAGAACTCATCACCGGCAATCCAATCTGAAGAGAGAATCTTCTCTGTGAAGTCATAGGCCGATTTGATCTTGGCCAAGTTCTCTGGTCGTATTTCTTTCTCGCCGCGGAAAATAATCAATTCCTAGAAGCAGAATAAAGTTCTCTCTGAGAAAGCAAGTCTTTTGCGATGCTCTCTGTTTTTATCGCTAATCTTTTGTGAGGAGTTTTTTTTTCTACCTATAGTCATAGCCTTGAGAGGCTATTTCAGCTTCACCCTAAAGTTTGTAGGTGAGCTAACGGGGCTGAAGCCGGAGAGTTGCTAGCACTGACCCTAGCAAGAGCAGTGCTTCGCAGAATCTACCACCGGATCGGAAACGCGGTCCACTGAGAAGATCCGGCGAGGAACTCAGTGAGCTGTGTCTATGGGGTGGGGAGAATGATGTGAGTAAATTAGCCTTTGAGAAAACACTACAGAAATCGAAAATGGATTTGATCATCAAAAAATAATGCTCTTTCAACATTCAAAGTTATAGTTTAGGAATATTCTAGCTAAAGAGTCTTATGGTGTAGTTTATTTATTTAAAAAAAATATGTTTGGTTTTCCTCTTTTTGGTATAACTTGTTTGATTCACACGTTGGTTGTATAATGAAAGACCGTAACATTATCTAAAAAGTTGGTTACTACTTACCAACAGACAAGGATTCAATATTGTTTTTAATTACTAATGTTCGTGTGTAAAAGGAATATTAAACTTTATATACACATGACAATATATTATGTTATATCTTTTGAAATTCTAAAACACATTCGAAATGTTATTGCCAAAAAATTGTTATATTGCCAAATGCCAAATCTATACTTTGTATACAGTCTTGGGTAAAGTGGAGTATTGCTGATATTTTAAATAGTGCTATTTTATTAGGAGTTATTAGATTCAACCCACTAGTACCCATAATACTATATGTTTTCTTATTCGAGTAAGAAAACCGAATCTTAAAAACTCTGCTTTTCTACCATTTCTTTTTTTAATTATTGCCCTTATAGGCAGACGAGCATACGGTCCACTTGATGGTGAGTGGTTACCGTCGCCCATGGACGTCAGCAATGCCAGGGGCAGATCCAAGCAACTGCCTATCGTAGATCCTATCCAGAATAATCCAAAATACATCCTGTCCAAGACATAATAAGTTGAAGGAGATAATTACGGCAACACCACGTAGAGCAGGAAACAGTATACCGCTATCAAAGTGCAAACGCTGGTCGATTAACGCTCTTTTCTTGGGCTCGTTTGGGTAGAGAGAGTCATCAGCTCCGTATACGCTGATCAAATAACTGGATATGGCGTGGCTGAAAAAGTCATCAAAACGATCATGGACATTTTCTGGCAGATCAGGAAAAGATTAAAGACCATCGCATCTTTCGTCAACTAGATGAAATTGATATGCCCTAACTAAAACATTTTAAAGAAATAGTGGGTTTCCAGAGACCATTTCATCCTCTCACTTTCATGCTCTAAAATGAGCTCCTCACGACGGTTCTTCGTCAACTCATTTCATGTCATAATATGAGCTCATGTCTCTTTGTAATTTGCTCATGTAATTTTGGCCTTCAATTATTTGTGGAAGTCCAGAGAAGGTTTAAAAGATCGATAAAGATGTAAATTCTCGGAATGAAATAAAAATAACAATTTTGTTCTTCCTTTGATGTGTCCCCCGTCGGATGCATTCCTTTTGTTTGTTTTAAGTTTATTTTATACAAATGTTTAGGTCTTTTATTTATTGATTGAGGCACTGCGAAGTCTGCTGGGTCAGCTAGTAAAAAAATAAATAAAAACTGAAGACCATATTATTATAGTTAATCTAACACAGTGACTGGTATGGTGGCAGTTACTCAGTTAACATTATTTAATTATTTATTGTATTAGTTCTTTTATTAATTTTAATTTTATATTAGTAGTTGACAATTTTAATTTTAATAATTTTTATTTGGTTTCAGTTTTGTTTGTTTTTGTTTTTAGACATTCTGATAAATTATAATTTTAATTTTATTGTATTTTGATTTAGATGTTATGTAATTGTATGTGACATTTTATGGGCTTAAGTTGCCTGAAATAAACGCATTTCATTTCATTCATTTCATAGCCGTACTTCTTTGTTTATAAATGCATGAAAAAATGCGAATGAAAATGTAGCTACCTGTCCCAAATCAAGAAATCGTCGTCTTTCAACAAAGGAATTGTATGTTGCGGGTTCATCTGGAACAAATGAGCGTAACCAAATTAGTATATAGTATAGGAAAGGTACCGTGTACCTTCATAGAGGACTGTTAATTGTTTCAGCGCCAAGAAATCCAGATGCTTTGGCGATTGCAGCCATAACCCAAGCTAATTAAAAGTTAGTGAATCTAATCGCGTTCAAAGACTTCAAGCTAAGATTTTTTTGGAGCGAAAATACACACGAGAAAACATGTACACTGTAATGTATTCGCAAAAATATTGACTAGAGTCGAGTCTCTAACCTCTAGAATATTAGAGTCTAAATCAACAAGGCAATGATAAGTAAAATCTGATTTATTCCAATCATAACAGTCCAAAATTTAATGTTTATTACTTGGAATACGGAATGGATTTTGTCATGTGGTACCTTTAGAAATTCCTCTTTCAAATGCGATCCTTCAAGCAGGTTCACATCGACGTACTCCACGTCCCTTATCTTTAAAGCTTCAATCACCATGTAGACGGAACGCACGGGCGGACTGGCGTCCAACTTATAAAGAGTAAGCACCATTTTATGTTTCTGTGAAACAAAAAGTTTTGACGGCTATTTATATTTAGATTTTTTATATTCTATAATCAAATTTATTTTCAGAGTATGCACTCTTCATAAAATATAGTGTGGTGTGTAAATAGCCTCACGATGGGAGTGCGTGAACTTGGGGAATAGCTTAAATCAATGTAAAACTTGTGGTCGTCTGTGGTGTGACTGGTGGTCTTCACATATCCAATGAGCAACTAAAATATCTTGAGAGCGCCTTACTGCAGAAGTTCACATTATTAGATGGTTCACATTATTAGAAGTTCATATTGCTTAGATGGGTAGACGAGCTCACCACCCACCTGGCGTTAAAAGGTTACTGGAGCCCATAGACATCTACAACTTAAATGCGCCACCCACCTTGAGATGAGTCGACTATTATCAAAGCCGGCAATGTGACTTTTGGACAATTATTCGTAAATCAGAAAAACGAATTATTGACTTTGTATTCCATTGGCAGTCACAAAACTCTTCTGATCGACATCTTAGATAAATAACAGGTTAAGTATTAACCTTTATTTAATGCAGGTTTTGAACCGTATTCTTTGAAGGAGACGATTATATTCAAATCAATCTGTATTGACATATCAATAACATTTTTTTGTCCAAATGCACAGATTGCCACCTTTGATAATAGACGACTCATATATGAGTTCTAAGGTCTCAGTATACTTACAACGGCTGCCCCACCCTTCAAACTGAAACGCATTACTGCCTCACGGCTGAAAATAGGCAAGGTGGTGGTACCTACACGTGCGGACTCACAAGAGGTCCTCCCACCAGTAATTAATTACAATTAAGTACAATTTTTAATAAATGTAATGTGATTATAATAATATGTGTTATGAGTATTTTGTAAATTGACACTGAAGCCTGTACAATACCCTATTGCCGTCACCGAAGGTAGACCCTCCAATATCAGTTCTTTGTTATATAGATTGGCGGTTTCCCGATTTTGTTGGACCGATCCTATGTCTTACCGGGGATTCCATTAATAGCGACCAAGGAACTTCTTCTGGCTACGATTTTATGACAAGGATAGAATTCCCAAGGAGTATTGACGTCAGGCAGGTGACCCGTCGCAAAACTCATGCAAAATCCTACTGCAGCGTCATAAAAGGATATATTGCACCGGCCCTACATTATGTGGAACAAGGGCAACATGAAGAAAAAGAAAATATTTATTGTGTGTAAAAAACAAAAGTTTGAAAAATAAAAGGTTTTATGGAGCTCACGAGGGATGCGTTAGATGAATGCATAATCTTCTGAACTTAAGTTCCCTTGAAAATGAGAAAGAGCGAAAGACTGGTGCATCCAAGTTTATAGCATTAATATCACAATACATACATACCGACGGAGGAAAGCGAAATTGTCGTAACCTAAAAAACTCAACTTTACACCAGAGCCTTATATAATATACTAAACGACCCGCCCTCGCTTCGCTTCGGAATCTGTAATTTACTATCGATTTCTCCAATATTTAATGGATGTTATTATACATATAAACCTTCCTCTTCAATCACTTTAACTATTAAAAAAACCGCATCAAAATCCGTTGCGTAGTTGTAAAGATTTAAGCATACATAGGGATATAGGGACAGAGAAAGCGACTTATATTAATTTATACTATAGTTTTATACTATGTAGTGATATACTATTATATGGTACAAAGTGATTTAGCCTAAAATGCAAGTTAGGACGTTTCCGCTTTTTTTTTTATTTTTTATTGCCTTCAATTGACAATCATACGGCCCACCTGATGGTAAGTGGTCACCGTCGCTCATGGACGTCAGCAATGCCAGGGGCAGAGCCAAGCCGCTGCCTACCATAAAGTACTCTCCGCAAGCCTCGTTTGAAGAAGGACATGTCATAGCGCTCGGAAAACACCGTGGAGGGAAGTTCATTCCAAAGCCGGATGGTACGTGGCAAAAAAGATCTTTGGAAACGCACTGTCGATGAACGCAGTGGTTCCAGATAATATGGATGAACTCTGCTCCTACCGTCAATACGCTTTAATTGTGTGGTAATGAGGGAATAGATAGCATTTGTCAGCATATTTTTTGTCTAAACTACTATAAGCCCTCGTTTTTTCTTCTTGAATCGGTTAGCCGTTATTCCAATGAAATTGACTTCTCTAATTATCTATAATGCCAAATTTCTATCTTTTTTTTATCTATATTGATAAATATCACCGTATTTGCATCAAATCTTCTAAAAAATTGGACTCTCGGTACATTGGTAGAACACATTTGTAAAAAGACATTAACGGTGAGGGAATAACATGACCCAAGGTAAATTAGCTTTCCCGCACACAGGTTGTAGCTTCTCGTTCAGATTGCAAACACACAAATAAGATGAGCTTGAAACAACAAATTTGTCGCGATTTCCCTCACGAGGAGAGGCTTTAACTATAAAAATCGATAGGCCGATTTTTTCGCAAAAAAGATTTACAAAGAAATAAAGAAAAAATACTATAATATTCTTCTTTCTACTTCACTCACCTTTCACTTTGTAACACGACCACACGGTAGAGACTCAACAACTTGTTTGTAGGCGACGTCTTAACCAGTATCGAATGTTACAAAACATTATCATCGGTGATCTAGTAAAATACTTGGATGTGGTATTTTATCGCTAGAGATAAATATTGTTACTGTTTTTTTTATGTTATCTAACATAATTGATTTGTGTGTATGTGCAAAGTAAAGGTGTGATTGTAGGATTTAAAAACAAATTGAATTATATTTTCAGGTATTGCCTACATAATTTAAATAATATTATTAAAATAAAAATTTCATATACATAATATTAAAATATATAAATAAGGTAGTTCTAATACACTCATTTCAGCACGAATTAAAGTTAAAGCAAGCAAAATCAAAACAAAAAAAAAATGAAAGAAACAAATAGGTTCTTCTAGTTGTTCAAAAATAATTCATTATTTTATTCTTGAACAGAATTAGTGAACCGGCAAATTACGACTACCAACAAAAGATAGACTTCAAGTTATTATGAAAGTCTATAAATCTTATAGATTAGTTACTGTTAGACTTTTGTTGTTTTGTGGATTGTTAAAAGCTTTTACTTTTTCTTTCCGAGAAATGGGGCTATAAAGTTTTTGCTCAAAGCCAATAAAAAATATATTCAATTAATAGCACTAAATGTTATTGTTTCGTGGAAATTTATTATTAGTTTGTTTGTCAAAAGTATTCCAACCGTAAGCAAAACCCATCACAGTAATACAAGGATTTTCTTAAAAAACAATGTAATGTGGCTTGTAAATAGCCTCACTGCGGGAGGAGATTTTGTATTTGAATAGGTCACGGAGCTCAGATGATATGACGTATGTATTAGAGGTTAAAGTATGAAATTGCCGATTTGTGCTGAAAAATTGAAATTGTTTTTTTTTCTTCATATTATTCATATTTTCATATTATTTAAAATATGGCGGCGCAGAAAATAAGGAAAAAGAACTTAAATTAAAGTAAAAACTTGTGATTGACCCGTGGGGTCCAGTTCATACTCCAACGCAAGTTCCCCTGAGGGTTTTCTAATTGCGAGACACTTATTTAAAGTAAGGCAGACGTAACAGTGATATGTATTACTCAGATGAGAGACGCCATTATATTATATTATTAGCGTTCACGCATTGCGCTACAAAGGGTATAGGGGCTATTGCGAAAATTGAGACTTGGACCTTTTATTTTAGAATGTGTGGATAGAATTCATTTTAGTATTATGTATAATATCGGCCACCCAATCTGCAATCTGGACGTAATGTGATAATTAAAGAATAAAAAAGCTAGTTCCATCTTTTTTTTTGTTGCTTAGATGGGTGGATGAGCTCACAGCCCACCTGGTGTTAAGTGGTTACTAGAGCCCATAGACATCTACAACGTAAATGCGCCACCCACCTTGAGATATAAGTTCTAAGGTTTCAGTATAGTTACAACGGCTGCCCCACCCTTCAAACCGAAACGCATTACTGCTCCACGGCAGAAATAGACAGGGTGGTTGTACCTACCCGTACGGACTCAAAAGAGGTCCTACCATCAGTAAAATTTCACCGGTTCTTCTCGATTTTTCATTCTGTAGTACAAATTTCCTTTTAATCGGCTTTTGACGTGATATAATCCACACTACTAGTTTAAATGCGATACCGCTCAGTCGATCATCATTGATTTAAATACTAATTAAATTTAAAATCCAAAAATAACAGAGAAATGTAAAGCTATTAAAGAACTGACATATTTCAAAACTGGGAAAAACTCTTCGACCCGTTAGACCTCTTGAAGAGAAAAGAATACGAAATAAAAACCTTTGTGGAGTCGGGGAAAGTTTTGCGAAAGATAACAAATTTATTTGAAGCGTGGGATTTCTTTATCTGCCTGCGGTGGGTAGTTACAAACGAGGAAATAGTAGCCGTACTCTGAATTTTATCTTTGGTTATAAAATAATTAGAGTTGAACATATGTCGATGTGCGATTTATGAACTTGCTTGTGGTTCGGTGGCGCCTTTATTACACTCTATGGGCTTTGAAATGCGTATTGATATGACAAAATAATTGCCATCATCAAACTTGATACATGATGTGTCAGATGTGTATCATAGCATAGATACAATCCAGCATAGTGATAGACTACCACAAACATACACCTTCACGCATACGCGCGCATTCACCCACACACATTCACGGATACGCGCACACACAGTCGCAGACACACAGGCGTATGCAAACACAAAAACCCATGCACATGCACACACACAAACACGCGAGAGAATGGTTTATTTTTTGTAATAAGTCAATGGAAATACTTTCACGAGTTGAAGTTGTGATCACGTCGCTTGATATATTTGAATTATCAAAACGGAATATGAGTAGATGATGATAATCAAAACTCGTCGGTGATCTGGTATGTACTAATTAAGCTTTTTAAGTTGGTAAGATCAATGATGACGTCACCTCATCCGATTAAACCTTGCGATACGGAGAACTTGGAATGAAAGTTTGTTCTTATATGATTTCCACAATTGTTGTTTTTGTGTTCAATTTTTTTAATTCTACCTAAGCTGAGAGCCTTGAGAGGCTATATCAGCGTAACCTTAACCAGTTGGTGAGCTCACGGGGCTCAAACCTGACGACGTTGTTAACACGAACCGTAGCAAGAGTCGTGCTTCGCAGAATCTATCACCGGATCGGAAACGCGACCCACTGAGAAGATCCGGCGAGAAACTCAGTGGTCTGTGCCTGAGGGATCATTTACTCGTCCAGCCCTTCGTCGCAAGCGACGAGTTCGACGAGAACGATGACCGGTGCTTGAGGTACCTAAAAGCACCTGCGTCCCATAAAGGCTCCATTTTATTCACCCTATCAGTAAATTTTATTATACCATTAAAAAGAACCTCATCATTATCATAATGATTTTCTTGCCTAATGTTAATTTATAGATTCTAGGAAAATGCCACATCCACTAAAATTATTGTTTATATAATCTGTGTAGAACTATTTGAGCTGAATACTTTAGTGGTAGTGCATGGAAGTTGTGTACTTGTCAAGAGACTTATAATTTAAAGTTGTTTTAGAAAATGGCAATGGAAAAACTGTTTTTTTTTTATATTAATTTGAATGCTCTTGGCTTTATGACTCGTCAATTTCATCAGATTGGTTGCAGATTTTTTATAATTAAGATGGTTGGATTTTTAATACCTTACTACCTGAATTGATTTTGGATCCGTTTTAATTTTCGGCTTAATAATCGGTTAATAAATAATCGGTTTTAACGGCCGTCTGGTGTAGTGGTAAGTGACATGGTCACTACACAAGGGGGTCGCGGGTTCGAATCCCGCCAAGGGAAGATATTTGTAAGATAAATATAAAATGTATTTTCCAGAGTTATGGATGTATATTAAATATATGTATGTGTATAATAAAAAAATATCTTACAATTATATCCGTTATCTGGTACCTGTAACACAAGTTCTTTACGAACTTATCACGGGACCACTTGACGTGGCGTGATTGTAAAAAAAAAATTAAAATAATTGACTACTTGTATATATATTAATATTAGTGTGAAATGTGTTAGCCTCAAAGATAAGATATCGAGTATAGTATTGAGCAAGGGAACTATCGACAATCAAGTGTTGAGTTCAGTTATTTGTGTTTCTAATGAAATGTTTATTTAACGTGTGTTCACAAGTGACTTCGACGCGCTGGAAACTACATACCCGACCCAGTAGACCGAATGGTAAACCGTCGACGTCGCCCAAAGCACGTCATTACGGATCCTCCTGATCCATTAACGGTGCTTTTAGGCACCACAAGCACCGGTCACCGTCCTCGTCGAACCCGTCGCTTGCGACGAAGGGCTCGACGAGCGAACTAACCCATAGACACAGCCCACTGAGTTTCTCGCCGGNATTGTTGAAACGCTATCTCGAGAAACTGTACTCATTACGCGGACCAATCGGATACGAGCAATGTCACGCGATAAGCGCCTACACGTTGATTGGTCAGAATGACGGATCTAAAAAGTGTCGTGACAACTTTTCGTAAGAATTTTTTCCGTCTAGCCCCCTTTCACAACGCGCGATAAGGAACTTCGTTCCAAAAAAATTAAAATAATTGACTACTTGTATATATATTAATGTTAGTGTGAAATGTGTTGGCCTCAAAGATAAGATATCGGGTGCAGTATTGAGCAATGGAACTATCGACAATCAAGTGTTGAGTTCAGTTATTTGTGTTTCTAATGAAATGTTTATGTAACGTGTGTTCACGAGTGACTTGGACGATGAAGGAATATCTTGTTGGTATCAACGCAGATTTATAAATATAAGTAACCGCTGGTAAGGTGCTATGAGCCCAAACAGAATTGGTACCACCATCTTGCCTATTTCTGCCGCGTTTTGGCCGGTTGACGAGCTCACAGCCCACCTGGTGTTACGGGGTTACCGGATCCCGTAGACATCTAAGACGTAAATACCGCCACCCACTTTTAGATATGAGTTCTAAGGTCTCAGTATAGTTACAACGGCTGCCTCACCCTTCGAAATGGAAAGCCATTAGTGCTTCATGACAGAAATAGGCAGAGTGGTGGTACCTACCCGTGCGGACTCAAAAGAGGTCCTACCACCAGTAAAACTACCAGCTTTTGCCAGATCACCGTTATAAAATTCAGACTTCGACTTCACGGCTCGAGCCTAGCGCGGCATATGATTACTTTGCACCTTAAAGACCGTAAACTCTTTCACATATCTATTCCCATAAAATCCATACGTCCTCGGTGGTTTAGCTTGATGAGAAACTTTAAATAATATTTTAAATTTGTTTGTATCTTATGTACCTGACGAGAAAATCTTGGCAAAAACCAGTTAAATGCTTACATTGATCTATTTTAATAAGAAATTGGTGTTAACTCTTCACGCAATTTGTGAAGGGTTTCTTTAGTATCATATTAATTTTTGATTACTTTTTATCTATTAGGTCATGGTTTTAATTGTTCTACGAATGCCTCAAAGCTGTCATTATGCTGCCTATATTGTACCTTTATGTATTCAGAAGGTCAAAAACTGGATACGCCCAATAATACACACGTCAACT